TTAAACACCAAATAGTCTCAATAATTTCACGTTCAACCTATAGTGAATAGGTATTTCCAGCCACAGATATTAGTACGGGTGCTAATAATTTTGTATCCCAACCACAGATTTTTATTTTCCTCTACGTCAGCATATGTGGCCAGAAATCTGTGGATAACTTCACGCCAATGTTTAAATGTTCAATACAGTAACCAGTAACACAGACACGTACATCTGACCAAAAATTGTTGTTTCGATGGGGTCAATTTTGATTATAAAGTCATATCGAGAACGTCATCCCTTGAGGCAGCAGCCAAGTCATTCGTTATCGTGAAATTTAATGATGAACGTTTTATGTAAGAAAAATATCGTCTTTCGTTTCTCTTATTGAGAAAAAATGAAGAAACACAAGAACAGAAACAAAAGTATCGAATAATAACCTCCGCCAAGTGTCTTACAATAATTCAGCCGACTCTCAAAACCTTCTCTTATACATTATTGAAGTTATCCAAGATCAGCAATCGGCTTTCACTAGGAGTGGCAGTAAAAACTTTCTTTCTTAAATATCCGAGAAAAAATTCACAAGGAAATCAAGTAAATAACTAGCTACCCCAGTATATGACTTTGCTGATCCAAAGCTTGGGAAAACGATCATCCATGAAAACGTTCCTGTCGCACGCGATCATCGAAATGTGGGGGTGCACCCTCCTGCGAGAGAATAATTTCGTTTTCTAGTACAATAGCTGTGACAGAAGTACAAAATATGTCGTATCTGTGTCTCTCACTAACTAGTGTTAAGGATAGGTGTGTATGTATGAGTATATATGTATGTACTTATTAACTGCCTGTATTAAGAAATCAAAACATTTTATTTGATTATTTTATGTGTGTGTATGTATGTATTCCATATTCGATGGTCTATTAGACGTATCTAGAGAACAAAAAAGATGAGAGTTTTAAATTTTGGTTACCGATGTATATGGTTGTGGATGTAAATGGTTGTGATCTATCGTTTGAAAATATTTTCATCACCGCAATGTTGCCACATACATGTAACAGACATCAACTTGGACATTTCAAATGGAACACCCTATATATTATTTCATTTTTGAATTCTGCATTAAATTCTGAATTCAGTCATATAGCACACTTGTAGGGTTCTTTGAATACTGATGAAAAAGGCAATTTTATTGCGTATTATAAAGAGGACTATGAGTAAGTCAAAGTAAATGCAATAATGTATTCATCGATCTGTCAGAAGACCTGTCAGATTTGACGAAAGTGTATTCAGTTTTGTGTTGGTTTTTCGTATAATTGAAAAATGGTTCAATTTTCAAATGCAGGAAAGTTGTAAATGATATGTATTTATGGCGAAGCGACAAGGAATTTGAAAGAAGCAGTGAGAATATACGCTAATCGGTACCCTGACAGAAAATTACCGTCAGACGAAACGTTCGCTGGCTTAGCGAAATCTTTGGCACGAAATGGATGTTTTAATGACCGGAAACGAAAAAACAAAAAACGGCTACTGATGAGAATCATAGTGTTGCAGTGCTAGGTCAAATGGTGTTGGAACCATATAGTTCTACTAGACAAGTAGCAATGCATTGTAACATTTCGAAATCGTCAATACAACGTATTTTGTCAAAAAACAAATTCCATCCATACAAAATTCATTTGGTTGAAGGACTACATCCAGGTTATAATCTTCATATTTCATTTTTGATAACTAAAATATATTCCCATATTCAGGAGATGCAGATAGAAAATTGAACTTCTTTGCATGGTTGCATTTTTTCGAAGGAATTCTCAATGGAAAGAGGTACTTTGTTTTTCTACAATATGTGTTGCCGAATAACTTGGAGAATTTACCAATACAAACTCGACTGAATATGTGGTTTCAACAAGATGGGGCACCTCCACATAATAATAGAATAGTTACCCAATATTTGGATGATACTTTTAATGAGAGATGGATTGGAAATAAGGGTCCAATACCGTGGCCAGCTCGAAGTACAGATATTACGCCACTAGATTTCTTTTTGTGGGGATATATCAAAGACTTAGTTTATATGTGACGTCCACAAAATGTAGAGGATTTGAAAAATAGTATCACAAATGTTTGTGCTTCCATAACGCGAGAGACGCTTTTAGCTGTCACGAATCGGGAATTACTGAAAATAGTCAATATGTGTATTCTACGTGAAGGGAGGTAGTTCGAACACTCACTAAAATGATTCTTGCTATCACCAATTGGTTTCGTTATCATCATGTTAGTCGAGTTATGGTCAAAGTAACATATTTTTTGGTAATTTGAAACATTTATTTTAATTTGTACAGAAATACGCAACTAGATGAAATTTAACAGAATATGAAATCATAACTGATGGATTCCTTTTCTTGAACTCGTAATATTGCATTCATTTTGATTTATTCATGGCCCTCTTTATAATATGCAATAAAATTGCCTTTTTTCATCAGTATTCAAGCAAAACTACAAGTGTGCTACATGGCTGAATTCAGAATTTAATGCAGAATCCAAAACTGAATCGGAAAATCTAGGTTACTATTTTTTAAAAAATGGCGTCGGTGTCGCGACGCCCTAATGGATGACGCCTATTGTTGGATCTCTTCGCAAATAAGAGGACCCTTTGAAATCAAAATCATCTGCCTTCACGAAATATAGATATTCTCTCTCATTTTTCAGATATTTGCCCGCGGAGTTTTATATGGGACACCCTGTATATTGTTTATTGCCTCAGAATATGGTTTGGTGAACATTCCTCAGCATTTTCTTCTGAAAAACCAATTTTATCCACTTCATTAGAAAACAAATACACATGTCTGACGGCCTGACGGCATCAGCCTGATTGGTTCATATAGATAACCATAAAAAATAATATGGATATTGGGGTATAATGTTATACTCTAAACTCCTATGGTACAGCCACGTTAACTATATGGCTATGGGTAATTTTTTGTATGTAGGTCAATAATTGATTATAGTGGTATTCTGTATGGATCGACTACAAATACCTCTATGTAAAAAATTGTAAATTCCAGTATAGTGCAATAAGGATAAGTATTGAAGTAACGAAATCAATACCAAGTTTTGCATTATCAGCTGAAGCTAGAGAACCACCTTTGAGTGTAAGACGAGAATGTTTAACTTCAAAAAAATATGATCCCTGAGTTTTTTCCTTTCAGTAACCAAATAATTCCTCAACTATTCATTAAAAATTGACCGAGTAACTATTGGATTTGAAAGAATCTCCCTCCTGACAAACGTATTCATTGCCATCAAAAGTATTTTATATAATTCCTTCCTTCATATTCGACTGCCACTACATGAAATGGAATATTCAGAGATAACTGCCGAGCAACTACAATTTTCTCAACATACTGTGAAATTATTTCTGGTAACAATATCATTACCATTGAAACGCTCAGTCATTATCAAAATTGTGTGAATAATTAAACAGATGGTTCAAAAACAGGGCACGATTCAGGTTTGGCAGTTCATATCGTATATTTCTACATCGATTTTCTAGAGAGATTTTCAGATTTTCATATCGTTCATTTCTACATCGATTTCCGATATCGACTTCAAGATTTCCTGTTGATATAGACAGCAAAGATCTTAGAAACATTCCTTAGCACTCTACTG